TAGGGGGGGATTTTATAGGGATTTTAAAGGGATTTTATAATATTAAACTTAATACAGGTTATTTAATATATATTTTAATTTGGCTTTTAGAGATATCTATTGTATTGTACTGTTTTTATTTACCTGTAAGCCGCCCTGAGTCCCTCGGGAGAAGGGCGGGGTATAAATGGGATTAAATAAATAAATAAAATAAATAAATTGTAAATTTCATAAAATAAAGAGTTGGATTTGTTTCAGATCACAATCTTGAACAGAATGATCTGGGAAAATATGCACAGGATTATGTTGTTAACTGGGCATGAGAGTTTTAAATTATCATTAACAAATTATGCTTTTATTTCACAACTCTTCTTTGTCTACAACTAATTGTTTAAATGACATTGTGAAAAAGTTACAATGAGGTGTTGCCTTTTCTCCCTAGAATGGCAAAAATATTCTTCTAAGAAGGACTTTGTCAAAAAATAATGTACAAAATGTTTATACACGTCAGTCATGGGAGAAAAGGGGCAAGTTATGTAGATGCTACAACGAGATAAACAATTTATTTGAAACACAGCATGCTAAGAGATGCCCTTAGGAAGTGGACTGGCTGCAAGGAAAAAAGTTCAAAGCAAAAACACTGATTGGATCATCTTTCATATTCAAATTTATTTTCATTAATTAATAATTTCATCACTTTTAACTTATTTTACATTCATAAATCCAACACAATGAATTTCCTTCATGCATGACTTCCCAAAACTTAATTACAAAAATTATTATTCTATTTAATATAAAGAATTTCCCACTCATTACCTGATTTTAATCTATTTTAATCTATTTATTAAAATGATTTTAATCAAATCATTTTTCCATGACTGATATAATACAAATATTTTTACTAGTACGGTACTAATTCCAACAATATTAAGAATTCTCCCTCAACCAGTATGGACAGGCTATAGTTTCTCACTACCAGTGGTTACTCAGTGGATACATAACAGTGAATCAGCTTGCTTTTAGATCTTAGGGTATCTGTTAGTAAATTGGGAGCAAGCTGCTTCATTGCCAGAATCCAGTGGCAAACAAAATTCTAGAAACCACACTTAACTCTCATACTTGCATGTAATCTGAACCAAATGATGGAGAGAAGATGATAATGTGTCTATCTTGTGAACTTTCCACAAATCAGTATTTATGGTCAAAGATGAATTAATTATTGGATTTTTTCCAATACTTTCAGAACATCAAAGATATATCCATAATACATTGATTATATATGAAAACCTTCTATATGAGAAATGGAAGACAATTTAATCAACATTCTGCTTTGTTTACAGAAAGGGTTTGGAAATGTTGCTGGAGAATACTGGCTGGGACTGGAAAACATTTACTTGCTCTCCAATCAGGATAATTACAGACTTCTGATTGAATTAGAAGACTGGAGCAATAAGAAAGTCTATGCAGAATACAGCAGTTTTCGACTGGAGCCAGAGAGTGAATATTATCGACTACGTTTAGGCACTTATCAAGGGAATGCTGGTGATTCCATGATATGGCACAATGGAAAACAATTTACAACACTGGACAGAGACAGAGATATGCACACAGGTAAGAATTAGTACTATTTAGATCTATGTACTTCTTATTCTGGCTGAGCTGAGAAAATAATTTGATAAAACATTAGGAAGATAGAGGACTCTGCAAAATAGTACTGTTTAACATAAAAACATCTTCAATTAGAATGATCCATAGACATGTACAAGTAACTTGTATACTTTTGGCAATGACAAAACCATATGCTTAGAGTTAGGATTTACATTGAACAAGGTAAATATTGGGTGGAAAGGCTTTTTTCTCATAGGAAAGTATCTGTTCTGACTATGTGAAAAAGGCAAAAGATTTAGAATGATCTGTAGAGAAACCAGAGTATTGGATCTCAAAAAAAAAAATCTGGGTAGGTTGTGTGATTTCTACTTAATGTTATTTCTTTCAGACAAGGATTCAAAAGTATCTTCCAAATCTCCAAGTTCCAGGTTTTGTGCTTCTAATTATACAATCCACTGCACTGTTTAGTTTGGAACTTTGCGCTACTAATTGTACAATGCACTACACTGTTTAGTTTGGAACTAACTGCAGATGCTTACACAGAATTATACTTTGTAATGTTGAGTTTAATTCAAGTGTCAAAATTAACTTTGGAACTGTTAATATCCAAAGGATGTATTATATGGTTTTAAATTTACTTAAATGCTAAAGATACTTTATGGATCAATTAGTTGATCATAAAACTTGCTTTCTTCTCAGGCAATAGGTCTGCAAATAACTTTTTCTATGTGTAAAATATAAGAAAATCATTCACATGCACAATTTATTCTATTTTCTATTTTTATCTAATACTTGTTCTCTAAAAAGAGGACAAAATAGCTTATAGAGACTGATAGAACAAATACATGTGTATTTCTTTAGGATCATTCCTTTTTTTCTCAAAATATAATTATCAGATATAATAAATTCCTCCCTATTCAAAAATGACAATAAGCTTCCATAAAATAAATGGAACGTAGGAATCATTATCCCTTAGTACCTATACAATGCATTGGAAAATTCTATTTCAGCACATTCACTAGCTCCTTAGTTCCATTCCATTTCTTGTTTATGCTACCTCACTAAGCTATTTGGATTTTTTTCTCTAGCTACTTCTTTTCATTTTAATGGCTCATTCTCCTTCCCTCTATGCTAAATACTTTCAGGAGAATGATGCAGGAGACAAATATTTGGAGAGGGAATTACTTGAAGGTTTGTTGTAATTGTTTTCCTCATTAAGATAGAAATTTCATCAGAACCAACAGGTCTTCATTAAAATGAGGATTTTAGAAGTACAGTTGGATGATTCAGTAATACCATCCTTCTCTAAAATAGTAACAATAGTGTCCATCTGTTCACAGACTGACTTGTACTAAGTAAATTACAATGAATATGTTTTGTGATGTGATGTGAAATGTATCTTAATGTTTTGCTTCTCTCTGCAGGAAATTGTGCCCACTTTCATAAAGGAGGTTGGTGGTACAATGCTTGTGCTCATTCTAATCTCAATGGAGTATGGTATAGAGGAGGACACTACAGAAGCAAACACCAGGATGGGATTTTTTGGGCCGAATACAGAGGAGGTTCATATTCACTGAAAGCAGTTCAGATGATGATTAGACCTATTGATTGAGACTACCAAAAAGTTTTTTTAAAAATTAATCCCTGAGTTTGAAGCAGATGTCATTTTTCAAGATCTTCTTTGGAGAACTCTACCAAGTATTCTTTTAAATCCTCGCTATATTATATATGTTAATTTTTATACATTTTAATTACAGAGCAAAACTGAAGGCTGCATTTAAAATAATTCTCTGTTCATATAAGATATGAATATTAACTGCAGCTATTAAACTTACCAGTTTTTCAAGATCAGGAGGAAAAATTAATAGATATAAAATAACTGAATTTTAAAGTTCAAGTATGAAACATTTTTTTAATGTGTTAAACAGTCAAATCAATTCATTCTCATATGATTAAAACTATTTCAGTTTTTATTTCAGAGACCTGAATGTTAGGGGAAAAAATTCTTTAGAGATCCTTATACACAATGAGACAAAAGAATTGGAGAGAAACTCTAGTTTTGCAGGTGTATTTTGCATCAAATAAAGTACTATCATTTCATTATTGCAACAGTTACTAGATAGCTCTCGAGTTACAATGGCAATTGGTTCAGGAATTTCCATCACTAAGCGATGTGACAATAAAATATGATGTCATGTGACATCGTTTAGAATGGCAATTCCTGCAGCCATCATTAAGTGAGGATAATGGGTCCTTAAGCAAGCAGCTCCTTGTAACTTCCTGCTGGCTTACAACAACCAAAGTTAGTGGGACGTGCTATTAACTACAATTCAGAGTCTGATTCTGACCTTGAATCTGATGATGTTGCCCCAGCTGGCCTGTGCTTCAGAACTGTCAGACTCAGGAATCAGTAAGTAAGGATTCAATTATGGCTGCTCAGTCACAGGTATCTCCTGTTCCCAAGTCCCAGATCTAGGCTCAAACAGAAGTGAGCAAAGCAACATTCCTCTACATGGCTTCTAATAAAACAAAGGGCAAAGCATGAGTAACTGCACTCAGCGGGTTGCAGACACATTTGATTAGTTCCTGAGCTTTCAAGCCCTTGTTGGAAACAACCATTTGGCTATCCAGCTCTTGAATCATGATTCTGCTTCTTGCTTGTGACTCTTGACCTTTGGAGTGGCTGACTGCCCAATTTGGCATCCTGGATATTTTGGAACATCTCTGGACTATGCTGTTGTTTCTTCGACTGTATCTGGCTCCCTTCAGGCAAGCATTCTTTACTGGGCATTTGAATTTCATTCCTGTCTGCTGTTATCTGCCTAAACTGCAGTAAATATTCCTGCTTCTACAGTACTTTGTTTTTGTCTGTGTGTCAGCACCTTAAAAAAGAACAGGAAGCTGACCAAAGTTGCAAGCTCCAGGCAGCTTGCAAGCGGATAGGTGGTAAGTAACTGCTGCTGGATGGAAGGAGGTGTGTGAGTGGTGAGGGAGGCATGGTGCAAGTGTGGGGAGACTTGGCTGCTGCTGGGTGGAAGAGTGCATGAATGGGATCCACAACAAGAGTGGGACACGGCTTAGGGTAGCTGCTGCTGCATGGCAGAAGGATGTGTAAGTGCTAGGGACATACCATGTGAGTGCTAAGGGTCCCAGGGAGGGTGTGAGAGAGAGTGCAAGTAGCTGGTGAGGTGCAAATCCACAGAGGCTGGGAGACAATGCACCAGTGAGGCTTACCCAAAAGTTGTAACCTTCTTTGCCAACTTCCCTATTGACTTAACTTGTGGGAAGCAGGCAGGGAAGGTCGCAAATCAAGATCATATAACCGCAGGGTGCTGCAACTTAACCTTGTTAAGAGCCAACTGGATCCCCTAAATTACGATCCCATGATCAGGAGGATGCTGGGATGTCCAGAAATTCAAGGACTGGTTGTAACCATCATTTGTTTAGTGCTATCATAACTTTGAATAGTCGCTAAACAAGTGGTCATTAATTGTGGACTACCTGTATTTTACAGCACAATTTTCTTAGGACATGGGAATCCTACTTACTCTGGATCAGAAATCACATATTATTTTGAAAGTCAAATCCAAAATTAGTAGCATTGCTACAACACTGTACATTAGACTAATGTTATTAATCCTATGTTACAAATTGGAGTTAAGACTTAAGAAACAAAGTTGTGTACTCATTAAAGAATGAACTGTTTCAGGAGTTACAAACAACTTAATTTATGTTTTTAATAAAGTTCAGTGTACTAGACATGTTCTGTGAAATAAATTGATTTCAATAGTATTTAATGACTGAGTAATGTATTTAAAATGTGTTAGAGTTACAATTAAAGTATATACAGATATCATCTATTAGTTTAAAAATAGTCAGAATATTCCAGTACTATGTTCCAGGAGATGGGGGAATACCTGTAAAATAGTATTTCCAATCTCCTAAAGCTGCTATTTAATTCAGCACATCACACAGCCATGACTATACTGCAAAATACAGCTTTTGTACAAATACATCTCTTACTGCAAAATACAGCTTTTGTAAAAAAAAATTGACTCAACCCTCCCAAATATTAAATACCATTTGTAATGCTAAGATTAATTACATATGTTTTATATTCATTTCAGTGTATAGATAGTTTTCCTACAACCACAACTGGAACCAGAATTCTGGTCATAAGTTGTTGTGGTTGGTAAGTTGAGACACGATGTGACCAGACTCAATTTTACAACTCTTTTAATGATAGTTGTAAGTTACAGCAGTTATAAACTAAATCATATATTGCTAAGCAAATCCATTCTTCCAAATGGGCATTTTTTGCCAGGAACTGCAAAAAAAAGTTGTAAGTTGTGGTCATGTAACTGCAGGACACTGCAACTAATCATAAATGCAAGCTAGTTGCCAAGTGCTCAGAATGTGGAGGAGGGGGGCAGCAGTCATAAGTTTGAGGATGGGTTGAAAGCAGCTTTTAAAAAAGTTCATTGATCAAATGATGGTTGAACAGCTGGTTGTAAGTCGAGGATTACCTTTATAGAAACTTCCACTGCACAGCTACTTCCCGACGCTCTCATTATTATTTAATAATATACTACTCACTAACCAGTGTTTCTTGGTGGCTTTCAATACAATAAAAACACAAACATAAAAACAACTAAATTTGACTAGAGTTAAATATTAGCAACTGTAAGAGGGATCTCTGAGTCCTAGTAGACAATCACTTAAATATGAGCCAGCAGTGTGCTGCAGCTGCCAAAAAAGCCAACACAATTCTAGGCTGCATTAACAGAAGGATAGAAGCAAGATCACGTGAAGTGTTAATATCACTTTACAATGCCTTGGTAAGGCCACACTTGGAATACTGCATCCAGTTTTGGTCACCACAATGTAAAAAAGATGTTGAGACTCTAGAAGGAGTACAGAGAATAGCAATAAAGATGATTAGGGGACTGGAGGCTAAAACATATAAGGAACGGTTGCAGGAATTGGCTATGTCTAGTTTAATGAAGAGAAGGAGGAGAGGTGATATGATAGCAGTGTTTCAGTATCTCAGGGGTTGCCACAAAGAAGAGGGAGTCAGGCTATTCTCCACAGCACCTGAAGGCAGGACAAGAAGCAATGGATGGAAACTAACCAAAGAGAGAAGCAACCTAGAACAAAGGAGAAATTCCCTGACAGTTAGAACAATTAATCTGTGGAACAACCTGCCTCCAGAAGCTGCAAATGCTCCAACACTGGAAGTTTTTAAGAAGACTGGACAGCCATTTGACTGAAATGGTATAGGGCAGTGGTTCTCAACCTGTGGGTCGGGACCCCATTTGGGGTCGATCGACCATTTCACGGGGGTCGCCAAACAAGGCTGTCCGCCATTTTTTTTGTCCGCCATTTTTTTCCCCTTTTCCGGCGGGTGCTTACCTCCCTTGAGCTGGGCCAGCTGGTGGTCGGCCTGCTCCGTCTCTGCCGCTTGCCAGCTATGCCTCGGCCCCGGCGCAGGGGGTGGAACCACGCATGCGTGGCGCTCCCAGGCAGGGAAAGTCCTCGACTTACGACCGGTTGGGTAGTCCTTGACCTACGACCGGTTTAGTCCTCGACTTACGACCGGTTGGGGTCGCTGCATTAAAAAGGTTGAGAACCACTGGTATAGGGTTTCCTGCCTGAGTAGGGGTTGGACTAGATGACCTCCAAGGTCCGTTCCAATGTTGTTGTTATTATCATTATTATAAATAACAAGTAGAAACCAAGATTAGACAAGGAGGTGATATTTCCGGAAACAGACGAGGTGATATTTCCGGTATTAGTCAATGGTCCGCCAACCACGTCCAGTATAGAGCATCCCATTGGACTCATTAAAGAACGAACTGTTTCAGGAGTTACAAACTACTTAATTTATGTTTTTAATAAATCTCAGGGTACTAGACATATCTATATCCATTCGTGGCTTAGAAGGGCGGCCTGGAAGTACTCTGGTGGCCTGGCGGTGGAGACCAGACTTCGCCCCCATTACTCGGCTCTTGGACCCTGGTGCTGGCCTGCCTGGCTGGTCGGGCGGCCTAGCGTTAGTGGGGCGGCCTGGTACTGGCCCGGTTTCATCTAAGCGGCGGAAGCTCCAGCTCCAGCCCTGTCCTCCTTC